AGCCTGTCCTGTAGTCTTTGTAAGCTGCGTACTACTAGTGCAGTGTCTGGCACTCAGGAAGTACCAGTAAAAAAGGAAGCCCAAATGTCACTGTCAGTGAAAGAAACACGGCTTTCCAAACCCAACTTTCATGATCACAACACCTGTTTCACATGTGCAAATTGTGCATTTTTCTAGGTTAAGTCTGTAGTACACAATGTAGTATTAAAATTATACAAACATCCCTAAAAGCCTTCTTAAAAATAAGCACAATCTTACTTTAATGACAGAACCATCTGTGAAGAAGAAATCCACATAATATGAATTTTTAAAAATATAGTTGCACTGTAAAAAAAACAAACAAACAATAAACAGCACTGTAAACCTACATATGTGGTCAACTGATTTTCAACAAGTGTGCCAAGAGCATCCAACAGGGAAAGAATAGTCTTCTTAACAAATGGTGTTGGGACAACTAAACAACCATATGCAAAAGAATGAATTTGGATGCTTACCTCAGATGGTATTAAAAAAATAACTCAAAATGGATCAAAGACCTAAATGTAAGAGCTAAAACTACAAAACTCTTAGAAGAAAACTTAGAGTCCAACCTTAATGACCCTGGATTTGGCAAAGAACTCTTACATATGACACCAAAAGCATAAGACACAAAAGAAACAAATAGATAAAATGGACTTGAGCAAAATTAAGAACTTCCGTGCTTCAAAGGATACCATCAAGAAATTGAAAAGATGACCCAAAGAATGGGAGAAAATATCTGCAAATCATATATCTGTTAAGAGACGGCTACCTACAATATAGAAAGAGCTCTTACAACTCAATGATAAAAAGAAACCCAATGAAAAAATGAGCAAAGGATCTGAACAGACATTTCTATAAGGAAGATAAACAATGGTCAATAATGATGTTGTCTGACATCATTTGTCATGGGGAAAATGCAAATCAAACCCACAATGAGACACCACTTCACACCTACTAGGATAACTAGGATAAAAAACACAGATAACAAGTGTTGACACGGATGCAGAGAAAATGAAAGCCCAGTGGGGATGTAAAGTGGTGCAACTAGCTTTGGATAACATTCTGGAAGTTCCTCAAATGGTTAAAGATATAGTTACTGTATGACCTTGCAATTCTACTCCTAGGTATATAACCAAGTGAAATGAAAACATTATGTCCACACAAAAACTTGTACACAAATGTTTATAGCAGCATTATTTCACAATAGCCCAAAGCTCAAAACAACTTGAACATCCATCAGCTGACGAACATGCTACACTTGGAATAACCTTGAAAACATTATGCTAAGTGAAAGAATCCAGTTGCAAAAGACCACATATGGTAAGATTCAATTTACATACGATGTCCAGAAAAGGAAATCTACAGAGACAAAGAAAAGATGAGTGGTTCCATAGAGCTGGGAGGAAGACAAAGGGAAAGTGGGTAATAGATGAAGAAGAGGGAGTTTCTCTTTGAGGTGATGAAAATGCTCTAAAATTCACTGTTGTGATGGTTGCACATGTCTATAAATATACTCAAAACCATATAATTGAACACTTTAAATGGGTGGAAGGCATGGTATGTGGATTGTATTTCAATAAAGCTATTTAAAAAAATATAAATAGAGCAGTGGCCAAGGTCATGCCTGTGAACTGTGTTAAAGATGCAAATAATCCTCCACCCCCTTGAATTGCCAATTATCTTATACTCGTTTACCTGGTAAATGGCCTAAAAGTTAATAGCCTGAACTTTCAAGTCATCTCTCCTTTTCCTCACACCTCTGACAATAGTCTGCTGGTCTCCAAATGCTAGTGGATTCCAAAACATACACTGAATGCAACAAAATCTCCTCTTCTCTCCATCTAACTGCAAGACTTCAGGTCCTCACTTTTTTTTTTTTTTAATTTGAGAGAGCGCGAGCCAGAGAGAGGGCACAAGAAAAGGGAGCAGCAGAGGGAGAGGGAGCAGCAGAGGGAGAGGGAGAAGCAGGTTCCCCGCTGAGCAGGGAGCCCAATGTGGGACTCAATCCCAGCACCCTGGGATCACGACCTGAGCCGAAGGCAGATGCTTAACAGACTGAGCCACCCAGGTGCCCCTTACATTTTTTAATCTACAAAGGCCATCTTATGGATCTTTCTGGCTCTAATCTTTCTCCTTCACTCAACTATAGTTAATCTTCCTCAAGCCCAAATCCTAGTATGAGTCATCACTACTCTTTTTTATAGAGCCTTCAATTAAGGCTCTTTGTTTTTCCTAGGAATGAAACCCAAACTCTTTGACATGATATCCATTCATATATCTAAGCACTGGAAAAACAGAATGATAAGCAAAAACAAGGACTTTATAATCATGGAGCTTAACACTCATCTGTATAATGTCAATGACTATCTCCGCAACTATTCATGCACATAAAGGTAAAATGGTAACTGTGGCAAGTACAACGAAAGGCAAGAGCTTACAATTGTATGTGCGTGAGCATGTGAGTGAATGTGTGAGTGAGAAAGAGGGGGGGGGGGAGAGACGAAGAGAGACAGACAGATCTAGCCAGGAAAATGAGCAAAGATTTCCCTGAACAAGTACCGTTCAGGGGCGCCTGGGTGGCTCAGTCGTTAAGCGTCGGCCTTCGGCTCAGGTCATGATCCCAGGGTCCTGGGATCGAGCCCCGCATCGGGCTCCCTGCTCCGCGGTAAGCCTGCTTCTCCCTCTCACACTCCCCCTGCTTGTGTTCCCTCTCTCGCTGTGTCTCTCTCTGTCAAATAAATAAATAAAATCTTTAAAACAACAACAACAACAACAAGTACCGTTCAGGTTTAAGACCTGAAATATAGGTAGGAAGTAAACTGGGAAAGGTAAGTGTTCAGGGTACAGAGAACAGCATGTATAAAGTCAGAAAAGACAGGAGGACTTGGGGGCGCCTGGGTGGCTCAGTCGTTAAGCGTCTGCCTTCGGCTCAGGTCATGATCCCAGGGTCCTGGGATCAAGCCCCGCATTGGGCTCCCTGCTCAGCGGAAAGCCTGCTTCTCCCTCTCCCGCTCCCCCTGCTTGTGTTCCCTCTCTCGCTGTGTCTCTGTCAAATAAATAAATAAAATCTTTAAAAAA